TCACTAGGCAAATGTCTGAATTCATTGGTTTGGGTCCATGCTCTGTTACCTGCACCTGCCTTTGGTGCACATCAAAATTCCCAACGACTCTTTGAAAACCTGAAGTCATTCACCTTTCTCTCAGATTTATCTCTTAATTTAGAAAATGGGACTTAACTGCTTTAAAAGTTGACTTTCAAATGATAAATGAACTGTCAATATCTGCCTTACCTTATTTTAGTTATTATAAACATTTAAAAAAGAGTTTACACTCACACATAATGCAACACAACCATTGTCATGGAGTTGGATCCAACCCATAGAGACCCCTCCTTGGGTTTCTGAGGCAGTATCACTACAGAAGTAGATTGGCCAACCTTCCTTCTGGGGAGTGGCTGGTGGATTTGAACCGCCAGCCTTCTGGTTACCAGTCAAATGCCTTAGGCACTATGCTACCAGAGCTCCCACACTCACACTTAGACCTTCATATATATTTCATGTGTTATGCATCTTCTCTATGTGCTTTTGAATCTGAAAAACACTACTCCAATATAGTTAAGCATCAATATTTTTGGAGAATCTTCTTTGAAGAACATATTATCAGTTCTGTTAACATATGTATACTTTTTTTTTTTTTTTGGTCTATTCACCCTGGCCCTTTAGGATCTTGAGTGAAATATGCTTTACCAATCATCTGTTTTAAAAACTTACCTTTTCCTCCAGTGGTGAAGTTGTCAGCTTCACTGATGTTCATGATGTAACAAATGTCTGGATAATGCGTGTCTTAGTTCTCTAGTGCTGCTATAACAGAAATACAAGTGGGTGGCTTTATCAAACAGCAATTGTTTCCTCACAGTTTTGGAGGCTTGAATTTAGCATGTCAGCTCTGGAGGAACAATTTCACTCTCAGTGGGCTCAAAGGAAGAGCCTTGTCTCTTTTACCTTCTGCTCCAGGGATACTTTCCCTGTATCTTTACTTCTATATCTTTCCCATATCTTTACTTCCTAACTTGCTTATTAGTCCCCCCACTGTCTGTCTCTCAAAAGTAAGTAGTGAGTGAGATACAGCCTTAACAGGAGTCAGATTTCCAACATGTACTATCAAATTTGAACATTCAAAGATTAGAATTGAGAGTTATGGTTGTACAGTGATCAATACATAGAGTCTGGGGTCACATTACCCAGATTCAAACCTGACCCCACTGTCCATCAGAGACGTGATATTTAACAAGTTCCTTGATATCTCTGTGATTTTTTTCTTCTTCTTTAAAAGAGAAAAAATAATTTCACATGCCCTTTATGGTTGCTATGAAGGTTAAACCAGTTAATATTTAATTAAATTATTAGATGCAAGAATCCCACACCTATAATAAAAAAAGGAAATTTTCATTAACCTTGTCAATAAGAAGTTTCAGGATATATTTTCATTTTTCTAGAAATATCAATTGTCTTTTTCATCTTCTCATAAAAAA